GCAACATATTTCATAGTATTTAAGCAGTGACTGCTGATCACAGAACCGTGCTTCACTGAAAGATATGCATGACAATCGCAGCTTCTGTCGAATCGCGATCTCGATTCCATTTCGATTTATCGTGCAGCCCTAATTTGCACTTTTTGATTTCACAGCCTACGCTTACACTGAGAGTTGTCAACGTAAGTGACATTTTATACAAGTAATCAGCAGCTAGCGAAGTACTTTACATTCATTACTCTTGAACTTTGTGGAAATTAGGTGCAACACTGAGTATAATGTATGAGATGAGGGTGCATACAGACATTAGATCTATCCAAAATAATGTAGTGAGAATATAGACAAATTTATGATTCCCTCCAAATACCTGACGTCTGGAATCTGGGAATAGCTACTTAGTCCTGCTTATTTAAGTAATAGTATTAAAGCTTTGCACTTTGTATTGTTTGAGAGCTTATGCTTGATTGCAAAGCACACCAAGGAAAGTAAATATCCCAATCAAAAATAAGTTATGCTCTTTGAAACAAATCTTCTGACATGAACCCACATGAGGGTGAGCAAATGATGACTTTTTGGGGGGATGAACTAAATCTTTAAATCTAGACAATAATCTAAACATTCATAGAAGTTACTTAACTTCTCTGAGCCATGCACTTGGACATCAGTGCACACTAAGGTCGGCGCTATATTGAGTTCCAACAGGTCAAAATGTAGCCTTTGCCCTGCAGCTGTTTTTCTGTGAATCATAACTTTACATGCACGCAAATTCACAGGCACACACACACGCGCGCGCACACACACACACACACACACAATCATGGGGATATCCTGCACACTTCCCCCTTCCTGTGAGTCAAATGGCCTATTTCCACATTAACAGCACGCATACAAATGGATAGCTAAACGTTGCCAAAAACTGCTGGTCCATTCATTCACTCATGAAACTCAGAGTACCCCTCAACTGAGTAGAAACAAAAACATGGAAATTCATCATCATAAAAGCAAACCATTAAATGTCAGCCAAACATGCAACAATCCACATGTTCCTAAAATACCGTGGCCCAAAATATATTTGAACAATTAAGAAATGTATGCTGTTGCATTACATAGAAATATAATTCATGTTACTCTTTTTAAGTGTGACTTTTTCTTATTATTATATTTTAATTACCATATTTTGTAGTGTGGCCAAAGTGTCCAAATACCTTTTGAGAATACTTGTATAGGCACAACACAAAGTCCAAAAATGTTATCCACAATGTTTTTTCTGTGCATTTGAAACACAATAAATCACATAAAATGAGTAGTATGATGCATAAACAAACCAGACAGGACAGAAAAAAACAATGGTTTGACTGAGTGAATACCTGTAAATTGAGCCTAATGCCGAGTTCACACTGCACTATTTTCAAAGACGTCGCATCACTGTTGGCTTCACACTGAACGACTATCTGGGGTAGCATTCAGAGCGGATTTGGCAACACTGGTTCGCAAACTAGGTTTCATATAACTCCTCCCCGAACTTCCCACTGCCCTGTATCTTGGTCTCTGATTGGCTGTAGGTCATCGCCGATGTAGTTTTCAGTCAGAAATCATTGCACACTGCGTGATTGTGAATCGCCGACAGCTCCAGATATTTAGCATGATTCCCTCAGACCGCGTCTTTGATAATTCACACTGCGTGATTGTCACTCGCGTGAACGAGCACCGATTTGTCTCCGATTTCGGGCATTTGTCGGCGATTTCGCAAAACCTGTCGGCGAGTGAAAAATCGGGCAAAAATCGTGCAAAAATCGAGCAGTGTGAACTCGGCATAAATGTCTAGATCAGGGTTAGGCAACGTCGGTCCTGGAGTGCCGATGTCCTGCAGAGTTTAGCCTGTAGCCTTATGCCGAGTTCACACTACACGATATTAGCCCGATTTTTCACTTGTCGACAGGTTTTGTGAAATCGCCGACAAATGCCCGACATCGGAGGCAAATAGGTGCTCGTTCACGCGAGTGACAATCACGCAGTGTGAATTATCAAAGACGCGATCTGAGGGAATCGCCGACACGTCGCCGACGCCCGCAAAATATTTGGC